AAACATCCGCAGATGTGTTAATATGGTGATTATCATGGAACCTTCAATGTGACACGTAAGTGCCATACCATGAAAAACGGCACATGATCCCCAAGTAAAAAAAACAAAACACACTCTGAAATTCAGTAAGAGAAACATGGCGCCCCCTACTTACTTTTTTATTTCTTGGTCAATTTTGATAATTTTAGAATATGATAAACAAGATCATCAAGGAAAGGCGGCGTTGATAATTTAAGACTCAAGTAAAAAGTTCTGGAAACAAAGTGATCCCTCGGAAGCATTAATCACAACAAAATTACATAAGGATTGCAGACTCGGTTTGATTGAGTCTGTACATGAGAGATAATGAATAAGTGCAACATCCCTCACGCCCCCTAGCACCGGATTGAGCGGTACTCAATTCTCAACACTTAATAGTGCTTAAGAATCCTTAATGAACTTTCTAGTGATGCCTTAAAAATGAAAATTAATTACGTAGAAGTATTAAAATTTTTGTTTCTAACTTATCGTTGTTTTTTTTCTCTTAAATCCACACTCATATATTCGGAAAAAATAACGTCGCTTCCTTTAGATACTTTATTCAAAAAGGAAAATAAATATTGAATGAAGTTAAGACCATAAGTTTTGAGCAAGTATATTAAAAATCTGGAAACAAGGTGATCCCTCGGAAGCATTAATCACAACAAAATTACATAAGAATTGCAGATTCGGTTTGATTGAGTCTGCACATGAGGGATAATGAACAAGTGCAACATGCCTCACGCCCCCTAGCACCGGCTTGAACGGTACTCAATTCTCAACACTTAATAGCGCTGGCATCAATGATCCCGAAAGACCAGAAAAGTATAACAACACTGAAGTGAAGTACGGGGCAACTTTTTACAGCTGCCTCACGGCACTTGAAACCTGCTGTTGTGAAGTATAAAAATCTGGAAACAAAGTGATCCCTCGGAAGCATTAATCACTACAAAATTACATAAGAATTGCAGACTCGGTTTGATTGAGTCTGTACATGAGGGATAATGAACAAGTGCAAAAAGTTTTTATTCATACTGAAAATACCTTATTAAAGATTGTTTTGTTTGTTTGTTTGTTTGTTTGTTTCATTTTACGCCTTTTCCCAACAGTATTTCAGTCATATAGGCGGGTAGTTTCCTAACCATCGTTCCTGGAGAGTTACACCAGTACTAGACTACCTTCTAGTTCAATAAATTAGACGTTACAGGCTTGTTATAGTTTTTGTCGGTCAAGTCTGACGTCTAATAGTTATTGCTCAAAAACGCATAGCATCATAAAAAATTCCAAAAATGTCTATTGTCTTGCCTTTCAAGCTTTATTCAAAAGCTTATCATATTTTCTTTCAATTTCATGCTCAATCATACACAAAAACTTTCAAAAGATGTACTTATCAATTTAAAATAAAATATAAACATCAATCTATTTTTTGTCTATCAGCCATACTGGTTAAGCAAGGTGCTTTACAGATTGATTCCAAATTTTTGAACGGAAAAATATATTCGAACACACTGACGGTGCATGGGCAATTATTTCGTTAAAAAAATATTCCGTTAGATTGTTCTGACTCAGTTAAACGCTTGCATTTGAATAAGCCAATCAGATTTCGCGCACTTTCATGGCCGCCATTTGTTTATCGGCTGTAAAAGGAATTGAAATACATTAGAGGATTTAATCATGATTTTTCGGATGTGACAGTTTAATTATTTTGACAAAAGGTATTTATTTTTTAGTTTTGTTCATAAATAGGTCAAAAATTATGTAAATACACGCTGTCTTCATTGTTTTTCGTTCCGCCCGATTTTCTGGCGGAACATGCTATGGGTTTTTGAGCAATTTCGATATGACGTTGCTTTGCCCAGAAGCAAAAATATCTCAAAGCGACGTCATATTTATAGGACTAGACTACCTTCCTCCGCGCTAAACTACCAAAGCATCTCCCGGGGATCGAACCCACGCCAGAGAGGTAACTGGATTAGAAGTCATCGACTCTAACCCCTCGACCACGGAGGCGGCTTATATTAAAGATTGTACATATGTGCTACGGATAAGTATTTTCTTGATTTCGGAAAGGAAATCTCGGTGGCCGCTTTAAAATATACTTGCATAGTTTTTGTTGAAAATGAAATTTGTGCCAATACATTTTTCAATGATACCAATAAGAATATTGGGTGGTTTTTTACATTATTAATAAAATTACTCCCTTGAAGTTGGTCATTGTTTCCCCTAAAAATTTCCAAATCGCCGATGTTTCTCAGGAATATATGATAAACAAGATCAACAAGGAAAGGCGGCGCTCAATGAACGCAACCCCACATGACCCAGCAACAAGAACAAGTGGCAAGAAGCCAAGGCGGACCCAAAACAAAACACAGGACAGGGCACTAGGCAGAGCACGGACAGGCTAATCACTAAAATGATAAATGATTTGTAACTGATAAGAACACGATGTTAAAAATAAGGTAATGCATAAGTTATCTTCATCATAAATGGTAAAATCAGCAATTTTCAAGTGATGTTGCTACTGACAAAACTTTTGTAACAAATGTAACATATATATTTTATGAAAAATGCCGTATGTTGTCTTTCAGTTTTATTTAAAAATATGGGAGAGGCGCCGTTTTATACCTGTCCGCAATAGAAGTTCGTAAATACTCCGAGAGGGGCGGGGCGTTATGCTTGACTTAAAATCGTTTAACTTTGTGAATCTACTTTTGTCATTTTAAACATGTTACTGTGTTAACGTACTCTTGTAGTTCTACAACTGGTTACCCGTTTTCTTAAACTCTATTTTCCGTACTCGAGTTTTACGTTTCATTTGTATATTTCAGATCTATAAGTGTGCAAACATGCATATGTATTGCATGCAATGGAAGATACGAACTTGTAAATTTGTTGTCGTTTTAGATGTTAGGTCAGTTGTTACGATATATATGTAAACTTGTTATATAAAGGCGGTAACCTTCAAATAAAAGATTGAATTAAGAGGTTTACAATAAAAATGGTAGGCATACAAGTTCGCATTTTCAAGTCATTTTAAAGAGGAACACTTTACATGTCTGGAATTTTGGCAACGAACGCCCTCCATATAATATAAGTAAAAGTCTATATTACCTTAAAATAAATCGTGATTGTAATAGGTATTTTCTGATTGGCGAATTTTATTTCATAAAATATTGTGTGGCCCTCAATACACGCTATTATGTGCATTTCGGTGCAATGAATGCTGTCCGTCAACATCATCTAATTATATACGGAGATCTATGAGAGTTCACCTTCGCCTCGTTTTCACTTTAGCTCTGAATATTTTATTTTTCTACTGGATTTTCCATGCCATACGACTCCATTTCCCAGACCGTATTGTAACAGAATTTAGCATATTTAGCGCTTATTATCATAGTTTCAGCACCATTGCGTTGCTATGTAGCTGTCCAAGCATTTTCGCTGGGAGCTCTCTTTCATATTTTATTCATTACATTATTTCATATTTGTTTTCATTGACATTTATTTGCACCAAATGCTTAATAAAGTCACGGCCTTATCCCATTCAATTATGTTTGTTATTTCTTTTTCTGCAATGGCAAATTACAATGTTGTTACAACTGTTAAATAAACCTCTTCATTTAAAGGCCGTTATGTGTTAAGAGGTTCTACTTATCATAGTAAACAGGTTGTTAAAATGGTGTGTTTCACAACATCATGTTGCTAATTGATGACATCATAATGTCCCTATTTACCTTTAAAGAGTATTTATGTGCGAGGCATTTTTCCGGCTGATATCGAACCTATATTATTTTTATAAATAAAACCCGCATAGAAATTAAACAATCTATAATTACCTTCCACGGATGGTTCTTAAGAAAGTAAGGGAAATATCCAGACTTCCTCTTGGTAAATTGCTTAACCAAAATGGCTTACACACACTAGTTCCGGTTTCTTCGGAACATTCCGTTATAAGTAACATAGGCTATACCTAGGTACTAACTTAAACAATTAAGTCAAGTTCGATGCTAGTCAAGCGTCAGATATGAAAAACTGAGTATCAATTAATTAATAAGAAATATAGAGCAAGTTGAATAAAATTATTTTATGCAAGCCTCTGCGATTTAATAATGAAACTGAACTAATATAATAACAATGTATTTATTTAGCACATGTATACTTAAAATTAACAGCGTACAGTCACTGACTTTATAACATTTAAGGTGTATTGAAGCTATGGCTGTACAACGCATATCACGTCACGGCCAATTGTAAAAACTGCACATATGTTTGTAAAAAATAATATAATATAAGTGTGAACGAGGGATGTTGCAGTGTGATTGCGAGGATGTAAAGCTCTGGTGATGAGTTATAATCATATGAATTTCAAATATTCAACACGCTACCGAAACAGCGCAGGAGTGTAATAAAGTCATTCAATAAAAACGTCATTGGCGCTATATAGAAACATAGCGTTAAAGCGCACTAATTTTAGCGTTACACTATGGGCGCGTCATTGCAAAATTACTCATTTTAACAGTTTACCGTTCTTATTTTATATATGTGATAAAAAATATTATATTCGTGTAGATTTTATACTAAATTTATTGATCGATTTGAATAAAACAATATTATGTTTTAAATTAAGTATTAAACTTCACTCATTCAATATCCTCTATACACTGTATATCGTTTACTGATTAATTGTCAAAAACATGTTAATAATTAAAGGTTTCAATTTCACGAACTCGTGTTTATGACGGAATTTAGTAAAACAAAACCAAAAGGACGGACTTCGTATTTCATGTTTTTGAATAAATTAGATACGCCAATAAACAGTCTACGACTTTCATATTTTAGCGTGTATTATTGATTTAGAAGTTATTTTACAGCTTTTAAAATAATATAAAAGCAGTCAGCATAAACATGCATATTTACATATAAATAATTCATATGAATCAGGCACATAATTAAATATTTTCAAAAGAATCAAACGGAACGCATGCGCACAATCCAGTTTTCAAAACAAAGCCGGTCGTCCACAGATACGCTGAAATTTGCTCTCTGGTCGGCCATGGAGACTTCAACACCAACCTTTTACGCTGGCGTGCTTTTTTACTTAATAACAAGTAAAGTATGTGACGTTTTCACATCCAATCTTTTTTATGAATTCAAATTGGAAAGCAATTATAGTAACTTTACATGTCCAGCTGAGGAGACTTTATTTCATGCAAAAGATGTGCAAGACAAGGTTAAATGCACATTGCTCTGTACCAAGGCACCGCCTTGTTATGGGGTTTTCTTCCGGCTCACGACAAGAGAATGTGTAGGATGTAATACTACAGTGGGGTTGCTGCCGCTAGATGGCGTATTGTTTTATAGGCAAGGTAATTTTATCTTTATAATTATGTTTTCGCAAAAAAAGTTGATTTTATTAAAGCATTTCTTTTTTAATACCTATGTATCATCAAAAATACATTTTAACAGTGTTCACTTCAGCAATATAAAGATTGTCTCCGTAAAGTAGAAATCAACAGTTAATATTCAAAAGCGCAGACCTATGGTGGCCGGTTATCCGAAAGAAATTTTGTAGCTTTTTTCACAAAATGTCGCGGGCAACGACTAAATCAGCGAGATTTTCTGCCGAAATCATACAAAATGTCGCTGAAACGTATATACCTCGATGTTTTATAACAGCAAGCTCCAGTGGCCGGTAGCGTCCATGGTTTGAATTTACATTTTATCCCTCAATTTGTCTAACAGAAAAAAAATCCGTGACTTTTTTTGTTGTAGAAGTGTTGTAGAAATTCTAGAAAAGTCGGGGTGGGGAATTAAACGCTGCGACTTTTTGTTCCTCAACAACGGTCTCATAAAATATCGCCATGAGTAACAGCAATTTTCAGCCGGGGACATTTATGTGAAAAATCACGGCTTAATGCTTAAAGTCGACTTTTGACAAGGTATGCATCAAAACAAAATTTTGGGGATTATGATATCCGCAATCGATTTCATAAAGAAGGCATATGTTTGCGTGGCTATGCCTTCTATATAGACAGAAAATGTCACGGTTTCCTTCGTAAAACTCGACATTTTACAACATAAGTTTGACAGAAAAACTTCCGGATTTACAATTTGCCCCGACATTTCAATAATTTGTAATTTTATCTTTATAATTAGGTTTAGAAAAAGAAATGATTTTAATAAATTATTTCTTTTTTTAATACAGCGATAACTTCAGCAATATAAAGATTAAATACCAAACCATTAAATGGGAATAAAATTGGGACGAAACCGTATCAACGCCTGTCTTTGTCTTGGTGTATGCTTATAAATCGTCATGACCAAGTTTAATTTTTCTTCTCTCATTAGACACAACTGAAAGTTCACATTCTCAACTTTTAGCAGGAGACAGTTCTTTTTTTATACATTGAAATCAATAAGCAAATGTCATAATTTCATTATTGAATGCCATGACAAGTTTGCTCATGTTCCTTATAAATTTTATCCAGTAAATCATTTACAGAACGTATTGCGTCATTTCTATCAAAGCCGAATTCGAATACTATGGAAATAAATTTGTATTCTAAGATTATGTTCGTGAAGTTGGCAGCCTAGCAGCCTAGCAGCCTGAAGTTGGCAGCCTAGCAGCCTGACAGCCTAAAGAAAACTAAGAATAGTACAAACATGAAAACCGTCGGAAATACATTAGTAGCACTTCTTTAGATCATTCCACGCCTTTTTCAATATAGTGATCTTTTTTTTTAAGATGTTGAACTTTATCGTAACATAATTTTTTCATTCTGACGCTTCGAAATTTGTGAAGTTAGCAGCCTAGCATGATAGTACAAACATGAAAACCGTCGGAAATGAATCGGTAGCAAATCCTAAGACCATTTAACGTCTTATTTCAGTATCGCGAACTTTATTTTTTTTAAATAATTTTTTTTTTTTATTTTTACACTTCGAAATTTGTGAAGTTAGCAGCCTAACAGCCTAGCAGCCTGGCAGCCTAGCAGCCTAAAGAAAACAAAGGATAATACAAACATGAAAACCGTCGGAAATGAGTCGGTAGCACATACTTAGACTATTCCACGTCTCTTTTCAGTATCGCGAACTTTATTTTTTTAAATATTGAACTTTGTTTTGTTTTTTTTGTGACACTTCGAAATTTGTGAAGTTAGCAGCCTAGCAGCCTGGCAGCCTAGCAGCCTAGCAGCTTAAAGAAAACAAAGGATAATACAAACATGAAAACCGTCGGAAATGAGTCGGTAGCACATACTTAGACTATTCCACGTCTTTTTTCAGTATCGCGAACTTTATTTTTTTTAAATATTGAACTTTGTTTGTTTTTTTCGTTTCTTTTGTGACACTTCGAAATTTGTTAAGTTAGCAGCCTAGCAGCCTGGCAGCCTAGCAGCCTAGTAGCCTGGCAGCCTAGCAGCCTAGCAGATTAAAGAAAACAAAAGATACTACAAACATGAAAAGCGTCGGAAATGAGTCGGTAGCACATACTTAGACTATTCCACGTCTTTTTTCAGTATCACGAACTTTATTTTTTTTAAATATTGAACTTTGTTTTATTTCGAAATTTGCTGGATTAAATATGTTTTCGAATAACGTAGGAAGTAGTCTTAGTTCGGCTAATAATGTCGCTATCTATGAACAATAAGTGACTTCATGTGAGTTTTTTATGGTATTCTATTTTGTATGTATATGATATTTTTTAAACACGTCAAGTTTTTTCACCTAACACGGCGAAATAATGATAGAAAAGTAAATGTTACAGTGGTATGTACTTCATTTGGTGTAATTCCCCCAAACATACCGGAAAACGGTGACGAATAAGTCTATAAACTGGAGTCAGAGTGAAGGAATCACCTATTCATATATGGAGCAATCACCTTTTAAACACCTTTAATATATCCATAAAAACAACATGTATTTAATAAATAGGGGATTTTTTGGTTTGTTTTTTTCCCTCTTTTTTGCTGAAAACACGAGAGCCTGACCCGGTGCGTAGTTTGCGTAACGCACTTACGTGAATAAAATTTATCAAGGAAAATGAAAATAATATAATGTATAATATGATGTGAAATTATCAGCATAACAATTGTAGAGGCGTATTTTGATGTGTCGTATAATAGGTCAGGATGTGGCAACTATTGATCAAATGGGTATTCTTCTTAAGTTCAGATAATCTTTATGTTCATTAATGTGTTCGTTTAAACTTATGCATTGTATATCTCTTTACATTTAAACACATTTTTATCTTTACAGACCTAAAATGAATATGCGTTGAACATCGCCAACTTCATTATAAACATATACATACAAAATAGCATATCATAAATAACTCAAATGACGTCACTTATTGTCCAGACAGTACGGAATGTCGTTAGGGCCATTGCCTATGAATATGTTGATCTGAAACGCGATAGTCGATAGTACGATGGTGAAAACGCGAAATCACGAAACTACGATGGTGAAAACGCGAAAGCACGATGATGAAAACGCGAAAGTACGATGATGAAAACGCGACAGTACGATACTACGATGATGAAAACGCGATAAACTATCGTGTTTTCACCATCGTACTGTCGCGTTTTCACCATCGTAGTTTCGTGATTTCGCGTTTTCATCATCGTACTGTCGTGTTTTCATCATCGTACTATTGCGTTTTCACCATCGTACTATCGCGTTTTCGTCATCGTACTGTCGTGTTTTCACCATCGTACTATCGCGTTTTCACCATCGTACTGTCATGTTTTCATCATCGTACTATCGCGTTTTCATCATCGTACTATCGTGTTTTCATCATCGTACTATCTCGTTTTCACCATCGTACTATCGCGTTTTCATCATCGTACTGTCGTGTTTTCATCATCGTACTATCGCGTTTTCACCATCGTACTGTCATGTTTTCATCATCGTACTATCGCGATCATCGTACTATCGTGTTTTCATCATCGTACTATCGCGTTTTCACCATCGTACTATCGCGTTTTCATCATCGTACTGTCGTGTTTTCATCATCGTACTATCGCATTTTCATCATCGTACTATCGCGTTTTCACCATCGTAGTTTCGTGATTTCGTGTTTTCATCATCGTACTATCGACTATCGCGTTTCAGATAAACACATTCATAGGCGATGGCCCTAACGGCATTCCGGAATGCCGTTTGGGCCATCGCCTATGAATGATTTGATCTGAAACGCGATACTCGACAGTGCGATGATGAAAACGCGAAATCACGAAACTACGATGGTGAAAACGTGACAGTACGATGGTGAAAACACGATAGTTTATCGCGTTTTCATTATCGTATTATCGTACTGTCGCGTTTTCATCATCGTACTATCGCGTTTTCATCATCGTGCTTTCGCGCTTTCACCGTCGTAGTTTCGTAATTTCGCGTTTTCACCATCGTACTATCGACTATCGCGTTTTAGATGAACACATTCATAGGCGATGGCCCTAACGGCATTCCGTAAGACAGCGACATTATTAGCCGAGAAAATGTTGTAAGACTAAGACTACTTCGTACGTTTTTCGAAAGCATGTTTAATCCCGCAAATTTCGAAGCGTCAGAATGAAAAATAAAATAAAGTTCAATATTTAAAAAAATAAAGATCGCGATACTGAAAAGAGACGTGGAATAGTCTAAGTATGTGCTACCGACACATTTCCGACGGTTTTCATGTTTGCATTATCCTTTGTTTTCTTTAGGCTGCTAGACTGCCAGGCTGCTACGCTGCCAGGCTGCTAGGCTGCTAACTTCACAAATTTCGAAGTGTCACAAAAAAAGTTAATTATTTAAAAAAAAAATAAAGTACGCAATACTGAAATAAGAATGGTATGAGTATTTGCTACCGATTCATTTTCGACGGTTTTCATGTTTGTACTATCCTGCTAGGCTGCTAACTTCACAAATTTTGAAGCGTCAGAATGAAAAAATTATGTTACGATAAAGTTCAACATCTTAAAAAAAAGATCACGATATTGAAAAAGGCGTGGAATGATCTAAAAAAGTGCTACTAATGTATTTCCGACTGTTTTCATGTTTGTACTATTCTTAGTTTTCTTTAGGCTGTTAGGCTGCCTGGCTGCTATGCTGCCAGGCTGCTAGGCTGCCAACTTCAAGCTGCCAGGCTGCTAGGCTGCCAACTTCACGAACATTCTAAGATTTTACTAACTCATTTTATACAGATATACTGACTCAATTGAGGACTAATAATTGTAGTTTTCACCGCTTCCGCGCGGTATGACCAATAATGTAATAGGGTGCTGTTAACCCTCTTCCAGACTATCCCCCCCCCCCCCCCCCAAAAAAAAAAAATAAAAAAAATAAAATAAATACATAAATAAAAAATAAATAAAATAAAACA